TTTCAATGAAAGTCAATGGACGGCGTTAGTTGCAAACAAATGATTATATTGTGAAAACTATCAGGACTATGGCTTAGCCGTTGACATGTTTAGTGGCAGCAGGGATAGCTGAACGTTTTGATATAAGATTTGTGTAGGTGGGCCTGAAAATAAGGGAGTGGTGGCAGTTTAGAAATCATGTCCTGATTTTTCAGCTTTTGCCAGCTCCCACTCTAGCTTTGCCATTCATTCCTATGGGACAAATTTCGCCACAAGAACGACGATATTCCGTGAACCATTCGGCGAAACGTTCCACAAAGTAATAGCAATCCGATCGGGAACAATCTGCACGTTTTGGTAAATTTTTGTCTATGTAGTGTAAAAACTGTGGGAGGAGTTAGGGTGGCAAATTTGGCTATAATAAGAATAAGTATATATATATGTGAGATAACATTAAGTGGTCTTGCTATGCAAGTACACTTGATAAGTAATAACATTTAATCTATAGTGCACATTCAGCTTAAGGAACATCTTAATTATCTAGATAACAGCTTAAGAATACATCATCCTTAGAGAAGCTGGGTTGTCAATCCGCTGCACTCGACTGAGAGAACTTCGGGCAGTCAGACTTGAAGGGGACCCTCTCTTACTGGGAGTCAGCAGAACCAGCAACACGCGTCCATATTACAGGTGGGTAGTACTCCAAGTAAATGCCAAGTTTTCTCGTCTTTTATACCTTTTTTTTTAACCTATGAGATGGATAGTCCGTACTTTTCCATCAAGTTTCTGTATCCGTGCAGCCCAGCAAAGACCTTGCAAAAGCGCTGGATGGGACCGGCTCAGGACCACCAACAATGCCATGCCAGGTCTGTGTGGTAATTATCTCTTATCTATGTGCTAGCTCTGTCCTAATCTCATGATGGTACGCATGAGTCATTCTGGTGTTGTGTTTTGTGGGTTTTATACAGTTTCAGTGCTGTGTATTAGTAGCTGTGGCATCCAGGCCTACATCTAGTGATATTGCCTGTGTGCTTATGTGCTTACCGCCACCATCTTAACTACTTAGAGTTTAATTTGCTCAATAGTGATCAATACATCGTTGTTACGGTACCTCCAGTAATTAAATGCACAAACCGCCGTTTAGTGAATGTTGCCCGTTCGCAATACTGTGGTCTGGTAACGTATGCACTGAAACCATGCGAACCGCCAGCCAGGGAACACTCCAAACTCCCGAACGGTACCTGTACGGCCCTTTCCCTTATCGAGCTCCAAATACACGTATCGCCAATAGCAGCCGAACGGCAATAGTTTCCAAGCGGCAAATAATTCCAATAAGCAGTCTCTAGGCGCCGGTAATAAAATCCCCCCAATAACGAGACCAAGCTCCGCTTTGAGGGTAAAACACGAACTGAGTTTACTGGGGGCTACCTGCCCGTATTTATGCAGGTCTCCCACTTGGTGGACACTCCCCTAGGGGACCAAATGGGAGACTGAAATAACAGCAGGACATGGGGACATTCTGGACATACATCCCCCTAATATTCCCAGCATGCATCAGTTTCCTCCCCTCTGCTTGGGAGATAATTGGGAAGTAACTCAATTATCTCCCAGAGCAGAGGCAAATCGCCATTTTAAATACAAGTCACAAAACACATAAAAATTTATAACTTTATAACTACCGAACATATTGCATTCGTGTAACACATCCCCAGATAGCCTGGATCTGAGTGCATATTATTGGCGAATAGCGCTCAGATCCCATACGCATAGTTCAATCACCATGGAGTCAAAGTCTATTACAGTTCTTCAGTATGCGATTGACTCTATGGGAAGGCTATCTGGGTTAAGTCCATTCGTGTTATTAAATCTCCCGAACGGCCGGTATTCGTATGCTTTTGTCGATTGAGAAGGGGAGGTCGACGGCTTCAGCGGTGTTAGGTTGAAAAAGTGTCCGTTTTTAGTTCCATGGAATAACCGTCGAACACCGCTGGGCTTTCGCATAGTTAAAATGGCCGCCGCCTCGTGCTCGACATACGAACGACGACCACCCTGTATTCGGTTTTAATTGAGAAGTGTCTGTGGTTAACCGCAACGTTCTAATTGGGATCAATAGGTTAACCAGCAGCACACTTCTCTTCTGGGTGGCCGTCCGTTCGGTAGTTCCGTTCGACAAAAAAAAAAAAGACATTCCGGGGGGGCGTGGCCTGAAGCTCACCGCGGCGGTCGCATGACAGGGTAGCTCCTGCTACATAGGCCTGAAACCGGAGCGGCACGAGCACCCTGTTAGCCCCAACTCACCCACAACGATGTCCCAGCAAAAGGGAAGGCGCCAGGCGGACAAAGGCGACAAATCTAACTTCTTCGCCGTCCGCGCCGCCCAGACGAAGCTACAGGGAGCCCTGGAAGAGATCCAAGATGGCGCCCCGGACGGAGACGGCGAACAGCAGAGAGACAGCACAGCAGATGCACCGGTGACTCAGGGCATACTGCAGAGCATGCTGGATGCAATGTACACCAAACTGCAGAATACCCTCCAGACCTCACTACACAGCATCAGGTCAGACATGAGGGAGCTGGGAGAGCGCACTTCAGCGCTGGAGGACAAAATGGCCGACCAGGCCGAAGCACATAATGATATAGGAGCCAGCATGGAGGAACTACAAAGCACAGTGACAGCACTGGAAGCTAAAATAGCGGACATGGAAGACCGCTCTCGCCGCAACAATCTTAGGCTGAGAGGAGTGGCGGAATCTGTGGGGGCAGCAGACCTGCACGCTCACCTGCAAGGCCTATTTAAAGTCCTGGCCCCAGATGTGCCTCAAGACATGCTGTTGCTGGACCGGTTTCACCGGGTTCCAAAACCGCTCTTCCTAACAGCGGACACCCCGCGAGATGTATTAGTGCGGATACACTATTTCCATATCAAGGAAGTCCGATTACGAGCAAGCAGAACACGTCCCAATCTACCATCTCCTTATCAGGGAACCACGATATACGCGGACATATCGGCAGTGACCCTGAAGAAGAGGAAAACCTTTGCCGGGATAACAGAACAACTACGCCTGCACAAGAAGCCATACAGATGGGGATTCCCGGTCAAACTTCTCATCATGCACGAAGGCAAAACCACCATCATCACGACGCCAGAAGCAGGAGTGAGGGCCCTTAAGGAGTGGGGCCTACCACCGCCACAGCTCCCAGCCGAGGCAACAGACCGCAACAAACCCCAGCCGTCATGGAAGAAAGTTCGCAGAACCTGAAGAAAGACTACCAGAAGGCCGCTGGAAGTGGCAAGTACACAAATGAATGACTTTGGGGCCGATGGTAAGGGGGGGGGGGACTAAGACACACAAAACAAGGGCACACACAGAACATACCCTCCCGAGCCCGAGTAATCATACCGCTAGGCCACACGACTGAAAAAAAACAAAAAAACAAAAAAAACAAGCGGCAATATACATAAAAAACAAACAAAAAAAAAACAAAGGGGGTGCTAGACAGCACAAGAGACAATCAACAGGGTTTCAGGCCTATAGACCGCTCCGCACAGGCATGGAAGCACTAGTTAGCTTCTTCCTCCACAGCGCCTTAGTTTGGCGCAAGGCCCTCCACATGGCACTAAGTTCAACCTTTTATGTTCTAGTTTCTTTGTTATATATGTTATTTTACTTTATGTATTGTGTTTCATATTGTATGCATGCTATGCCACAAACATCACAAAACCACGCCACATGGGGTGTCGACAGGGACCACAGGGGGCCACATTCACAGCCCACCCGACATAGGGAGATGCCACCCGGTTCGAAAATGCTGGGAAGGGGGACACTCCCACAAAATAGACAAAAAACGCCACAAAGAACCGAACCTCCTGGGCTCAAACCACCATGAAAATTTACACCCACAACACAAAAGTCCTAAACCACCCATCTAAACGAAATTTACTCCGCAGAGACCTCAATAGATTGAGACCGGAGGTGGTGTGCCTACAAGAAACCCACTTCAAAACAAATGCCCATGCACCATTGCTTCTCCGGGATTACCCCTACCAATACCATGCCACACGCACGAGCAAATCCAAAGGGGCCTCAATCCTAATTAGCAAGGATGTAGCGTTTTCCCTTACACACCTGGAACTAGATGACAAGGGGAGATACGTCATAGTGGTTGGGACATTTAATGAGGTAGAATACACCATAACAAACGTCTATGCCCCGAACCAGGAACAAAGAAACTTTCTTCACAAAATGTTTAAAAAGTTGGGAACTATACAAAAGGGCATAGGAGTAGTTTGCGGAGACATCAACCATGTGCTTGACCCTAAGGTAGACACCACGCTAGCACATACGGCCCCTAGAATAAAGCCACTCAGGAGACAGAGCAAAGCGATTCAAAAATTATTGCACGAATATCACTATTATGACACTTGGAGGGCGATACATGTAGGGAAGAGACAATACACTTTCTTCTCCACCGTACACAACACCTACTCGAGAATAGATGCTATACTGATAAAGGGCCAACACTTGGAGCAGGTCCAGGACTGCACCATAGAACAGATCACGTGGTCTGACCACGCCCCGGTCATGCTAACGCTGGTCGACCTATATGAACCCTCCCACAGAAGCCCATGGAGACTGAACAGTTCCCACCTAGCAAACCCTGAATTCGCAAAACACATAGCGAGTGCACTAACACAATATTTTAAAGAAAACACCACGGACCAAATCCCACACAACACGGTTTGGCAGGCCCACAAATCGGTGATACGGGGACTGTTGATACAAAGGGCAGCCAACCAAAAGAGACAGACACAGGCGCAAATGAGGAAATGGCAAAAAGAACTCCAGGACCTCAACACCCAAAACCAAAGATCCCCGACCACAGAGCTAAAGTCCCGCATAATGACAATTACGCAGGAAATACACAAGCAAGCCCTAGAACAAACAGGCCGCCACCTAAACAAAATCAAGGCAACCAACTACTCCCAAGGCAATAAAGCTGGCAAATTAGTAGCCCAACATCTTAAAGCCATACAGACAAAACAGAAAATAGCATACCTCAATACAGAAAAGGGACACAAAGTGACGGCACCCAAAGACATAAGCAACGTCTTCGCCAAATACTATAACTCACTGTACAACTTAGCAAACGACCCACACACGCACCAACCACAACCACAAGCCATTAAAACATACCTAAACGCGATACAACTACCCGCATTCACGCCCCAACAACAACAAGAACTTGCAGCAGACATAACGCACGAGGAAGTCACCGCGGCCATCCGAGCCCTACCACCGGGTAAATCACCAGGTCCAGACGGCTTTGCCAATTGTTATTACAAACAGTTCCAGACCGTCCTAACGCCTCATCTAACGCTTTCAATGAAGCCACACGCCAACAAAAACTGCCCACCGAAACCCTATTGGCACATATCATCACGCTCCCAAAACCTGGAAAACCCCCCACATGCCCACAAAACTTCCGTCCCATTTCCCTATTAAACACTGATGCAAAATTATACGCGAAGATTTACGCACGACGTCTGGGAACGATACTCCCGCACGTCATCCACACGGACCAAGTGGGATTTATAAAAAACAGGCAAGGAGGGGACAACACTAGAAAAGTACTCGATATTATGTATAGTGCACAACGAATGAAGGTGGGTACCGTGCTGATGTCATTAGACGCGGAAAAGGCCTTCGACCGGTTGAGTTGGGAGTTTCTAGAACTAGTCCTCCTTAAATTTGGAGCACCGGGAAGCTTCCTCTCGGCGGTCAGGGCGCTTTACAACAAACCAACGGCGAGGGTCCTCAATGCAGGCTTTGTCTCTGAGCCCTTTACCATAACCAATGGCTCACGCCAGGGGTGCCCCCTTTCCCCATTGTTGTACGTAATGGCTCTAGAGCCGCTGGCAGCGGCCATAAGACAAAATGCCTCCATCCACGGAGTGAAAATAGGACTCTCAGAATACAAAGCGAATTTATTCGCTGATGACATCCTGCTGACGCTTACTCAACCACACATCTCACTCCCAAACTTAATGGCCAACATAGCGGAATATGGGAAACACTCCTACTACAAGTTGAACGTAAACAAAACACAAGCAATGGGAATAGGGATACAACAAGAAGCCTTAGATAGACTTAAGTCTGCTTTCCCCTTCGATTGGAGAACAGATCACTTAACGTTCCTAGGCATTAAAATTCCAGCGAACCTAGGCAAACTTCTAGACAAAAACTACATACCCCTCGCAAAAGACATTGCCACCACCCTGGAAAGTTGGAAAGGTAAATTTTTATCATGGGTAGGAAGATTGGTGGCAATCAAAATGATGCTGCTGCCCAAGTTCCAATACCTACTACGCACCCTCCCCATAGCACTGCCAAAATCATACATAACCGCTTTACAGAAAACAATAACTCAGTATGTGTGGGCTAACAAAAGACCAAGGGTGGCAGCGGTGACCCTCCAAGACCCAATCGTGGAAGGAGGACTGGGCCTCCCATGCATAGGAACATATTATAGAGCAGCCCAACTAGCATCGGTCAAAACTGCCACAGCAATGGGGGAGCCACTACAGTGGACCCAAATAGAATCACACTGGGCGCAAACACAGAACCTACGGGATCTTTTCTGGCTCCCAAAGCACTTACGCCCCAAGTCCTTCCAACCCCTACCTACCACTACACACACATTAACTTGCTGGGACGACCAAAGGGAAAAAGAGGGAGATCACAGAGACATAAAAGGGAACGCCCCAATCTCGTGTCTAACAGTGGGCATCCCATCCTTTGACGCCAAGACATGGGGGAAGGTGGGTTGCACTGAAATACACCACCTATATGAAGACAACCGCCTAATCCCCTTCCCAGAACTCCAAACAAAGCACAATATACCCAGTAGAGCATTGTTCTCCTACCTACAACTTAACTCCCTACTCACGGGCACCAAAATACAAGCCCCCAACCCACAAAACTCACGCAACGCAACAACCCAATGCCTGTCAGGCAGACCCCCAAAGAAAACTCTATCGCATTTATACACTGCTCTAATAGCAGAGAGATCAGGGGCAGTCAGGTCATTCCAGACAGCGTGGCATGCAGAACTGGGAAGGTCACTAGAGACAGACGAATGGAAGCGAGCCTTCTCGATACACAAAGGGAACACACTTTGCACAACTCACCTAGAGACTATACGGAAGCTACAGTATCGATGGTACATGGTACCGGAGAAGCTAGCAGCGCTTTACCCACACTCGCCCAGCATTTGTTGGAGATGTGGAGCCGTGGGAGGCTCGATGAGCCATATATGGTGGACATGCACACAAATCAGGCAATACTGGAAAGACGTGGAAAATATAGCAGGGAACCTGCTAGGCAGAAGTTGGCCACTCACTATTGAACAAAGCATCCTATTCATGATCCCAAAGACCCTAAGCAAAACCGAAGAAGGGCTCATATTTCACCTGCTCATAGCAGCAGTAACCCTCATAGCCAGAGCCTGGAAATCTCAGACAGCACCCACGAAGGAAGCCCTACTTGACCAAATTTCCCTTAATTGGAAGTACGAGCAGATGGCAAACGCACACCTAAGACAACGAAAACACATTGGCATAGCGGGAGAGAAATGGTGGGCATATATGGGGACATACCACTCGAGACTTGACACAGGACCCAGGGGAAACGCAAAAAACAAAGAAGGGGGAGCAAGAGAGGCGGGAGACACTGCAGGGGTGACCCATGAAGCACAATAAAGCGGGCAAATAGAGGATAACACCAAGGGACGACAAAGCCAAACAATAGGGGGCTGGACGAGTCCCACGAGAGTAACACACAACAATGGGCAATGGAACTAGTTAGGCTAACAAGGCGGGGATGTGAAAGCAACATGTATAACCCCCATGTGATGTAACGAAAAGTACCTGCAATACCCTCTTGGTACTTTCTGTACCCTGGCGTGCAGGCGCCGAACGCTTAACCTTGTGAAACACAAATAAAATTTTACGTTTCAAATTAAAAAAAAAAAAAAAGACATTCCCTTAAACAAAGCATACGAACGGGGAGATTCATGCAAACGGCAAAACAGACGAACACAGTACTTTTAGTCCATACAGATGGGTCTGTCACAATCATTCTTAATTAATATGGAATATTATTATCACAGTGTCTAACTTAATAAAGAGAGAAAGGAGAAGAGCAGCTAGGGGAAGTGAAGCGGAAAGATGACCTTTATAAAAGGAAAATGATGAAGCTCCAGTCACTATGGTCATGGCGGAGGGTACTGCAGTGCTGAGGAGAAACAGGCCCGGCACCAAGGCTCAGGATTTCTACAACTGGCCTGACGAGTCTTGAGGAAATGGATAGCACATTGGCTGTCCAACAGTACATTCAACAGAATATAAGAAATGATTGTTCCGATATTGACAAAATCCTGGAGCCCCTAGAAGGGCCTTCGACCACTTCGGAGAACAACTCTGGGCTAAGCTTGCTGAACAGGCACAGAGACCAGCGGTCAGACATCTCTCGACTGCCCACTACAACAATTAAACCAAAGCCTGCACTACACCGCAATGCCGAACTACTGACCATGTTGATGTTAAAGGAAGAGCGCCGTCACTTACCTGCTCCTCACCACATTCTGGAAGATCTGCCACAAGCAGCTCACAGCCTCTGGTTCTCGCTCAGCAAGGCCAGTGCCATGCAAAGAGACAAGCCTGGAGACCTGCTCCTGGGGCTGGACACAACCGGTACTACGCAGTCACAAAAGCGACCATTGTTGCTTGGAACTGGAGAGGTACCCCCTCAAGTCTAGATGTACTCTTGTCATTCTGGGATGTTTATACTCCACTCATGGGCATCGGCTGTATAAGACTGTGGTAGTCAAACAGATTCTTCACAGCTACACAGATTTTTTTTTTCTTATTATTTTATAGTTAACAATGTGATGGACTAAGTTTTTATATAGATCTCAATATCCTATCATGTTTAACCCTGCATCCCTAGCTATAGATTAGGATCGGTCTTCACTAATTTGATTACTGTGCCATACATGAGCGTTACCATTGAGTAACCCTGTACACCCAGTGGTAAATACATTTTGTATATGTTAAGACACTCACCGCCAGGTAGATGAAGCCGCCGTTTAGTGAATAATCCCCCTCTCCAGAAATGCAGTTTATATCCAGCCGACCGCCAAACTCCCGAACGAAGTTCACGAACACGGTGTAACGGACCGTTTTGCACACAAGGGGTAAAAACCGTTTAGGCGATCGGCCCCCTTTCCAGAGATCCAGGCACAGCTACTGCAGAACACCAAAACTCACGAACTGGATACAAAATAGCACTCCAACTCCCGAACTGGAACCTCCCAAATAGCTGCTAGCAGACGAACAGGAAAAGCAGACAATCAGCTTACACTCCTGGCAATCAGTCTCTAACAGCATACAGTGAATCCCCCCAAGAACGAGACAAGGCTCCGTGTTGAGGGTCAAGCAGTGGTCTGAGGTGCTGGCACACCCAGCCTGGTTTTTATTACAGTCTTGCAAATACAGGACCGCCCACAGGGAGGTATAAAACAACCAATCACATCACAGTTACATCCCACATATTCCCTCCCCTTATCCTGAGAGTAAACTCAATTACACATACAGTTAAAACATACTTTCTACCCAACTTTCATAACTCTAAAACCATACATCACATTCACATAAAATTACATATTCACAATCAATCCATTCAGGGGAACAACATATTAAAAAATGGCCAAATCAGACAGGGGTTCAAAAGTTAGTAAAAAGTCCTTTGTGACTAAATGAAGCATGGCTTTCTGGCCCAAACTAGTTTCAGAGTCTTCTATCCTGGAGATAAGTAATTCAATTATCTCCCAGGACAGACACAAGACTCCATTAAGCACATGGTTGCAAAAAGACACAAAACACTTTAAAATACATAAAGTTACATTTTACACATAACACACAGACATTTCACATATCCCCAGATAGCTCAGGTCTGAGCGCACATTATTAAGTGAATGGCGCTCGGACCACACAAATACAGTTTAATCGCCATGGAGCCAAAGTCTTTACAGTCAGTTTCATACGAATGGGCTCCATGGGATTCCTATCTGGGGTATAACACATTCAAACAAATCTACTGAACCCCAGGCAGAAAAGCACGAATACAGCTTTTCTGCAGGCAAAAATAAAGTCTTTAAAAAGGGGGCCATAGTCCAAAGGCAGCAGGCGAGCAACCAGGCTTCTCCAATGCAATGTGGCGAGATTGGTCTCGTCACACACGGCAACTCCCGATCAGCAAAACAGTCGAACGCCTTCCACAGCTAAAAATAACGAAAGCGCTGTCCCAGTAATAATTCCCCCACAAACGAGACCAAGCTCCGTCTTGAGGGTCAAATAAGGATCTGTTTAATGGGGGCTACCTGCCCGGTATTTATGCAGGTCTCCACAAGGTGGACACTCCCCGAGGGGTCCTTGTGGAAGACTGTAAAATATATTGTACAGTAGCCAATCGCAGTGGCTTCAATATAAGCCCTTCCCATCTTACCCATAAATCCGTCTTCTCTACCCCGGAGATAATTAGGAAGAAACCTAATTATCTCCCAGGGTAGAGACAATCGCCATTTTAAAATACAGTAACAAAAATACATTAAAATACATAACTGGGAAAATACCGAATGGATATAGTTCGTATAACGTATCCCCAGACAGCCTGGATCTGAGTGCATATTTTCACCGAATAGCGCTCAGATCCGATGTATCTAGTCAAATCGCCATGGAGTCAAAGTCTTTCACCAGTCCTTCGGTATACGAATGACTCCATGGGACGGCTATCTGGGTAAAAGTCCATACGAATGCATAAAAACTCCCGAACGACCGGCGTTCGCATGCCTCGTTGAAATAGAAGGTGGGCATCAGCTTCCAGCGGTGTTCGGTAGATTAAAGTGTCCGTTTTTAGTTCCATACAATTTGTACCGAACACCGCTACGCTTTCGTGTGTCCCAAAATGGCCGCTGCCTCGTGGTCGACATGCGAACGACGACCACCCGTACGAATGGAATGGAGAGGTGTCTGTGGTTAACCACAACGTTCTAATTGGGGCCAAGAGGTTAACCAGCAGCACACTCCTCTCCTGGGTGGTCGTTCGTTCGGTAGTTTCAATCGGTAGTTTGTAATTACACGAATAGGGGTATACGAATAGGAAATCCAGCGAAACAAAGGGAAAGAGACGAACCAGCAATACAGATGAATCTGTCACAGTATACAATCTACAATTCTTGCATATAGCATTTTGACATCTTTTTCACTGCATATTCTGTTAGAATTATGACCATACTAGCTTTCATCATTTTTATAAATATGTTCTGCTTATTCTTTTCTTATGTAAATGTAATTGATATACATGCCATGTATATCTCTTATGGGCGTGACTCTGCTATCGTGGGCTAGTATGTTATTTTGTTTTACACAACAAAAATAATGTAAAAAAAAAACCCCACACTTTTTATATGTATCCCTTGCCACACCTCCCTGCATGTGACTTACACAGCATTCCTAAACACTTCCTGTACAGAGAGATCTAATGTTTAAAAATCCTGGAGCCCCTAGAAGGGCAGGATGAAGGCGTGTGGAAGTATGAACATCTGCGGCAATTTTGGCTGGAGCTTAATGGACTTGCAGTCAAACTCCAGACGGAGTGCCATCCTGACACTTGTACTCAGATGACTGCAACAGAACAATGGATATTTATTTGTGCTGCCCATAAGACCCTAAAAAAGTGTCCTGCTTTAGATTACACTAGGCACACACTTGATGGTGCTGCGTGTCTCTTGAATAGCAATAAATATTTTCCAAGTCGAGTAAGCATAAAGGAGTCCTCTGTAGCCAAACTAGGATCTGTGTGCCGTAGAATTTACAGAATATTTTCCCATGCTTTCATTACCGCCAAATATTTGAGTATTAGAATGAAACCTTCTTGTGTCATCGTTTCTCTAAATTTGTGATGAATTATAATCTAATGTCCAAGGATAATCTGATTGTTCCAATTTTGGAAGAAGAGGTTCAAAACTCAGTTTATATGTATATATCATTTTAGACTCTGCAATCATTTATCCTTTTAATGGCTTCTTTGTTTAGTATAGTTTTTGTATTCTATGCGTATTGCCTTTTAAATTGGGAAATACATTGTTATTCATTGGCTGTATATTCAATGTGGCTTCCATGGGTTTTAAGCATAAAGGATTTTGTTTATAATGCCTGTTTTAATAAAAATTATTTTCAGTTCTGTTTAGTACATACTACACAATCCTTTTGACAGCAATTGGAAAAAACGTCATATCCCTAGTTGATAATTGCATTAAGGTATCTGTGGCGAAACCAACCTCGCCACTGTACACTGGAGAAGCCTGGTTGCTTGCCTGCTGCCTTTGGACTATGGCCCCATGTTAAAAGACATCTTTTTCCCTGCAGAAAAGACTTATTCGTGCTTTTCTGCCGGGTGTTCGGTAGATTTGTTTGAGTGTGTTGTACCCCAGATAAGAATCCCATGGAGCCCATTCGCATGAAACTGACTGTGTAAAGACTTTGGCTTCATGGCGTTTAAACTGTATTCGTGTGGTCTGAGCGCCATTCGCTTAATAATGTGCGCTCAGACCTGAGCTATCTGGGGATATGTAGAACGTATATGTTTTATGTATTGAATGTAACTGTAGGTAATTTTATGTCTTTTACTGTTTGTTTTCTGCCATGTGGTTAATGGAGTTTTGCCTCTGTCTTTGGAGATAATTTAATTACTTCTCAATTATCTCCAGAGCAGAGAGGAGGGATTGTGATGCATTGTGGGATGGTTGAAATGTGTAAGTCTGTGATTGGTCCTTTTACCCTTTGTGTCACAGTCTCCCATTTGGTCCCCTAGGGGAGTGTCCACCAGGTAGGAGACCTGCATAAAAACCGGGCAGTTAGCCCCAATAAATCAGTTCCTGCTTACCCCTCAAAGTGAAGTGTCGTCTCATTATTGGGGGAAGGATTTATTGTATGCTGTTCCAGTTTGACTGCTAGGAGTGTAAACCTATTCGCATGATTTTTCCTATTTGGCTGTTTCCAGTATTCGTGTGTCTCCAGTTCGGGAGAGTGGTGATTGCAGTAGCTGTCGGTGCATCTGAAAAAAGGGGAATATTACCTAAACAGTTTTTTAACCTCTTTTGGGCAAAACGGTCCGTTACAGTATCCATAAGATTTTCCGATTTATTTTTTTGCTGTGAAAATATATATAAAGCAGAATTTTACAGTAAAAAAAAAAAAAAAAAGGGAAATGATATGGAAAAACAGGAAAAGAAAATAGGAAGATAAGCATCAGACACAAAACAAATCCCTACTATCCTCTTATGCATCTCCTGCCATGGATGAAAGAGCCTTAAAGGGAAACTATACTGCCTGACACTATAGCTTCCCCCTTTGTTAAGGGGAATTATCTCCAAACGCACTATCGGATCAAGAGTCAATTAGCAAGGAATTTCTAACCAAGTTACTGGAAGAAAACAGAGATTTGATTTTAAAAAATATATATATTTATTGGTTAACAATACAGAATTAAAGGAGAAAATTAAAATCCTCAATGAAAAGATTCAGGAAAATTCTGAAAATTTAGAAGCCTTAAAATTTGACATTTCTCAACAGCAAGACTCATCTGCAACCTTGAACAATAAATACACAGACCTTTGGAGAAAAATGGCAGAGTTAGAAGACCATTCAAGGACAAATAACTTAAGAATAAGAGGAGTATCAGGGGGGGCGTGGCTCGACGCCGGAGCTGAGCAGACGCATGTAGGAGCAGCTCCCTGCACAGAAACCAGAACGGGCAATAAATAAGCGGTATACCGAGCGACACAAACTAATTACCGGGGGCTCATGTGCACAATGTCTCAAAGACCCAAATCCAAAACGGGGAAATCAGAACGAGCCTCCTTCTTCGGCGCGAAAATCCCGGCCTCCAAACAGTGCGAGGGAGAAGAGCCTGCACAAGATGGCGGCGACCCGGGACCGCAGGAACACTCCCTCTCACCTCGTTCATCTCCCACACAAAGTGCAGATGATCAACCACTTACAATGAGGGGAATGCGTACATTAATGTCAGAATTCTCAGACACCATACAGAAAAACATGTAGCTGCAAATACAAGCCATGACAGCAGACCTGCAAAAGGATATACAAGATATTGGGACTCGCACAGCTCAAATGGAGTCCAAGATGGACGATTATGCGGAGGCACACAATAGTTTGGCAGATAAACTCCAGGAATTTGAAGTAAGTCTGGAAGCGCACAGGCTAAAACTGGCTGACATAGAAGACAGGGCGAGGAGAAACAATCTCCGGTTCAGGGGAATCCCGGAAACCGTTACAAACGCCGAGCTGCACAAACTATTTGTCAGACATGTTCCAGTGCCTGGCCCCAGAAATTCACCCAGATCAACGGATCATAGACAGAGCACACAGGCTGCACAGGCCGAAACATCTGCCGCAAACGGCTGAGAGAGATGTAATTGCCAGGATACATTTTTTCCATGCAAAAGACAAGCTCATGCGCGTCAGCAGGAACTCGGGCATGCCGAAAGAATACAGCACCATTAGAATCTTCGCGGACCTGTCAGCAGATACGCTGCAGTTCAGAAAGTCAATGTCGCCGATCACCTCCATTCTACGTGAGCACAACCTGAGCTACCGATGGGGATTCCCTGCTAAGCTTTTGATCTCCCACCAAGGAGCAATACATTCTATTACCACCCTGAAGCAAGGTATCCAGAAAATGGTAGACTGGGGGCTCCCTACGCCGGCACCAGAACCAGCTAAGACAACAGCGATGCCAAGGAAGTCGCCAGAGTGGACTGTTAAATGAAAGACTGGTACCCTCCTGAAATATACGTAACTAACCCTGCCCTACAGTGCAAAACTAGATGTTATATTATTAGTTCATATTAGAGATAGTTAAGTTAACTTCACAAATGTTGCGGGTACAGTATGGTATCCTTAAAATAAGCAGCAAGGATTGCTGGCTAGAGTATGACGCTGCCCACTAAGCCTTTAATAGCCCTCTCACGGGGGCATGAGCACAAATGTTGACAAACAGTAGAATGATATTGTGTAGAGAGGCTGTGTTTAGTTATTTGTTAAGCTAAGTCAAAGTTTTGTGTTTATTTTTAATGACTTACTAACCAGTATAACTATGCGTTACGACTGCCCCTCTGGTTTCATGGTGACAGTACACTATGAGTAGAAACTTCACCACCACTACCCCCACCAGACGTACCTACTCACTAAGGTCACACGGCCCCACATCTTGGAGCCGAGTTGGGTGTGTCACCCACCAGTTCTTCTAACCCACCCTACCTACCTACTTACCCCTCGCCCCACCCTACACCTGCTCCCCCTAGTCACGATCCACACAGCTCAAAACGACAGCACCATAGCAGATGCGCAATGTTGGAGTACGTCACTGTTTTCATAACTCCTACGGAAACAATGACCAGGTCTAAAAGTGCCCCTAACTTACCTACTCCACAATGGTTAAAATTCTAACATACAATGTAAAAGGACTAAACTCCCCGGGAAAGCGCAGGTTACTACTGCAGGACCTTAAGAAAGGCGAGATAGATATTGCGTGTGTTCAGGAAACGCACTTCATGAAAACTCAAACCCCTTCAATTTTCACTAAACTATATCCCACACAGTACCATGCCCTCTCAGACAAGACAAAAGGAGTTTCTATCCTCATACACAAAGACATAGTGTTCCAAGAGCAAGCAATCTCTATAGATACCCAGGGAAGGTATATTGTTGTTGTGGGTCTATTCAATAATGTTCAATACACGTTGACCTCGGTATATTTCCCCAACTCTGGAGCGGAGAGGTTCCTAAGACACATACTAAATGAAATAGATAAACTGAGGCAGGGAGGACTGGTGATGTGTGGAGACTTTAACTTCATAACGTCTCCGGACATAGACTCAACCGCTACCCCCGAAGGGGACTAGGCGAGCGAGTATAGTTTCCACGAGCAAGAAACTGTCCTAACTACTTTTACTACACAATCTATACGATAGTTGGAGAGTACTTCACCCTAATGAACGAGATTACTCCTTTCACTCTAAGGTACACAACACGTATACTCGCATTGACACCCTCTATGTGGACCAATCCACGCTGGCGCAGGTCTCAGGGTGTGTTATGGGGGACATAACCTGGTCAGACCATAGTCCAGTGAACCTGGAGTTGTATGACAAGTTTCAGTTCAAGGGTAGAGGGAATTGGAGACTAAATGAATCCTTACTACAGGATAAAACCTTCGTAGACCAAGTGACTGTAGAACTCTCCCATTATTTCCAGACAAACTCTGAGGGAGAGACCCCCGATGTCATAGTATGGTCGGCGCACAAACCTGTAGTAAGAGGCCTGTTTATTAGACACTCCTCATATCTTAAAAAGAAAAACAAACAATTGACTATAATGGACTGCCAAAAACAACTGGCAATTATCACTGCCCAAAACAAGCAGGCACCTACACACACTCTAGCACAACAAATCCAAACCCTAACGGACAAACTTACCAAAATGCACGCAGCCAAGACGTCATACTTCCTAATTAAAATGAAAGCGACTCATTACCACCACAGTGGGAAAGCTAATAAACAATTAGCTAATAGACAGAGAGAAATTGGCAGCCGCCAAAGTAGCATACATACAGGGCCCAGACGGCACCAAAATACAAAACCCATTAGATATTACTCAGGAGTTTGCAAAATACTACTCCGACCTGTACAATCTAGGAGACAAACCCGAAATCCCCCCCATACAAGACGAAAACATCAAGGAGTTTCTGTCCCACCTTAACCTCCCACAAATTAATCAATCCCACCTGGATCTATTACTCAGACCTATCACACTGAGGGAAGTGCTCCATACGATACAACACCTTCCCCCAGGCAAATCCCCAGGAGCAGACGGCCTCCCCAACTTGTATTACAAGACATTTGCAGAGGTACTAGACCCCAGATTAGTCAAAGTATTCCAGGTAGCTACAGAGAAAGGGGAGCTTCCTCCCGAAATGCTACTAGCGACCATAGTTATGCTGCCAAAGCCAGGAAAGCCCCCAGATCAATGTAAGAACTTCAGGCCAATATCACTGCTAAATACAGATGCTAAGATATACGCAAAGATCTTGGCCTCCAAACTGGGCAAAATACTACCCTCAATCATCCATGACGACCAAACGGGGTTTGTGATGGGGAGACAGGGGCTCGATAATACCCGGAAACTGTCCCTGCTCATGGAGCAGGTGCCGAGTTCTGGCCCAGGTGGGTTGCTCTTGGCCTTAGATGCTGAAAAAGTGTTTGACCGCCTGGGCTGGCCCTTCCTACGGCAGGTTCTATCAGTGTTTGGATTCCCACAACAGTTCATTCAACAAGTATTCGCTTTATACTGCCACCCTAGGGCCCAGGTACTGCAGGTGGGATTTAAATCAGATTCATTCAAAATTACGAATGGCACCCGACAGGGGTGCCCTCTGTCACCCTTGTTGTACGTGCTGGCCTTGGAGCCACTACTAGTAGCTATCAGATCACATCCAGATATAGAAGGTATCACCTGGCAGGACCAGCAAATTAAGATTAGTGCATTTGCCGACGATATCCTATTATACGTCTGCCAACCAGATAAATCCCTCCCCCACATCATGCATCTCATTAAAAAATATGGGGAACTCTCCTACTACTCCCTAAACGCATCCAAGACTCAGGCATTGGGGTTGCGTTTGGACCCACAGGTCCTAGCGCAACTACGCAAAGATTACCAATTCGAGTGGAGAAAAAAACGATATAAAATACTTAGGTCTGACGTTCACTAGGAAGACCTCTGACATGTTCCCTACTAACTACACCAGAGTCTGGACTGAGTGCTTGTCACTGTTACGGGGATGGGGCAAGCTGTTCCTTACCTGGACGGAGTGCATTGTTGCAATTAAAATGACTGTATTACCAAAACTGCAATATGTGTTTAGGAATCTTCCCTTGAGGGCTCCACAATCCTATTTTAAAACCATACAGTCTACGTTCCTTCAGTTTATCTGGGGCAAGGGACGGGCAAGGGTCTCTAGCAAACTATTAACGGCCCCTATAGGCCATGGAGGAATGGCGTTTCCGAATGTAAAATCCTACTACCAGGCTGCGGTTCTAGCACCCCTAATGAACCACCTAGTTCAAGATAACCGACCACAATGGGTGACCTTAGAAAATCTAGCTATTAAACCTCTCCTAGTCACCAACCTGTTATGGCTACCTAACAGGAGCAGGCCAACCATCCCACTGATACCCCTTCAACTTCAACTAGCGTTGCAATCTTGGGACTTGCACCGAACGAAATTCGAAACGGCCCACCCCCTCTCAATGGCGACACCCATTGAAGCCATCACATACTGCATCCCCACCTTTCATGCCACTCCATGGAAAGAGAAAGGTATCTCCTTCCTATCCCAAGCCTTTGACCCAGGCAGACTGATGAGCTTCGAGCGTCTCAATAGAACCTACAATATCCCACACACATCACAATACTCATACATTCAACTTAAATCCTTTTTGCACAAACACAAAGATAACAAGGTAGAATCTAACAAACAGGGAGAACTCTCAACCTGGGAACAAATAAGTACCACGGGTAAAATACTTCCAACCTATAAGCCACTCTCAGGATGCTATAAACTTATCCTGCCATACCAGTCCCTTTCTGGCTCGACACAAGCAAGCCAATGGGAACTGGACCTTCAGACCTCCATCACTGAAAATCAGTGGAAAAATATCACATCCTCTGTTAGGAAGCTGGTCAAATCTGCCTCCCTCATGGAGCAATATCAGAAAACAATATACAGGTCATGATAGGCATCAGCGGGGGGATGGCGACGTGGCGACGCGTGGGAAACGTGGGGCATGCAACATGCCGTGTACGCCGCGGGGTTAAGCTGAGCGGGAGTCCCATCTGAGGGAGAGGTGAAATTGCCGAGCAAATAATGGAGACAGCATAGACATCGGATGCTATCACCTCAAAAGTGCGGTAATCAAAGCCACGTTGCGATAATCAAAGCCACCCGTGGGTCGAATATACAGGATACAGGACTGAGGGACCGAAGGAAAGTCTATGCCTGGTCAAGAAAGGACGTAGGAATGGTGTGCGTTTGAAAATCGCAATGGAACTATGCCGAATTTAAAGCAGTTGATTTTTAAAAAAAAAAAAGCCGGGCAAACAAAAAGACAGAGTGTAATCCTATACTGGAGCAGAGGTGAGCACAATAAATTAAGAGTGCAATGAGGCTTGAGTTATATTAAAGCAATAAGAGTTTGTGTGATATACACATAGCTGAAAAAAAAAAAATAATAAAAAAAAAAAAAGGGAAACTTGAGTAAATACTATGTTACATAATGCTGGAACAATGTGATTCATAAAGTATTATATGATACATGTAACGGACCGTTTTGCACAAAAGGGGAAAAAAACGCTTAGACGATAATCCCCCTTTTCAGAGACAGGCACAGCTACGGTATAATCACCAAAACTCACGAACCGCCAATAAGTGAATGCTCCAAACTCCCGAACGGCATACAAGGGAATAAGGTAGCACTTCAAACTCCCGAACTGGAACCTCCCAAATAGCTGCTAGCAGACGAACAGGAAAAGCAGACGAACAGCTTACACTCCTGGCAATCAGTCTCTAACAGCATACAGTGAATCCCCCCAAGAACGAGACAAGGCTCCGTGTTGAGGGTCAAGCAGTGGTCTGAGGTGCTGGCACACCCATCCTGGTTTTTATTACAGTGTTTCAAATACAGGACAACCCACAGGGAGGGATAAAACAACCAATCATATCACAGTTACATCCCACATATTCCCTCCCCTTATCCTGAGAGGAAACTCAATTATACAAACAGTTAAAACATACTTTCTACCCAACTTTCATAACTCCAAAACCATACATCACATTCACATAAAATTACATATTCTCAATCAATCCATTCAGGGGAACAACATATTCAAAAATGGCACAAATCAGACAAGGGGTTCAAAAGTTAGTAAAAAGTCCTTTGTGACTAAATGAAGCATGGCTTTCTGGCCCAAACCAGTTTCAGAGTCTTCTATCCTGGAGATAAGTAATTCAATTATCTCCCAGGACAGACACAAGACTCCATTAAGCACATGGTTGCAAAAAGACACAAAACACTTTAAAATACATAAAGTCACCTTTTATACATAAAACACAGACATTTCACATATCCCCAGATAGCTCAGGTCTGAGCGCACATTATTAAGTGAATGGCGCTCAGACCACACGAATACAGTTTAATCGACATGGAGCCAAAGTCTTTACAGTCAGTTCATACAAATGGGCTCCATGGGATTCCTATCTGGGGTATAACACATTAAAACAAATCTACCGAACCCCAGGCAGAAAAGCACGAATTAAACTTTTCTGCAGGTAGAAAAGATGTCTTTTAACAGGGGGCCATAGTCCAAAGGCAGCAGGCGAGTAACCAGGCTTCTCCAATGCAATGTGGCGAGATTGGTCTCGTCACATCTCTCCCCTTTTCCAAACAGACTAACAGGGTATCTGACCTCCTGCCGGTCAGTGCCCTTGTTAGTCCAGCAGCCCACCCACAAAACATAATCAACAGCACAGCCCACCCACAATAAATGGTTACTACACCTGGGTAAAGGAGAAGCTTGTCCATGTCCAGGTGCCTCACCACGGCTGTGCTGGGTACGGGTACGCTGACTGGGTGGGTTGCTGCGTGGGCAGAGACCAGCGGCACTCTGCCCTGTTGCCAGCGCTACTGGGAGGGTAGCCTGGTTGAAGCCTGGTTGTTGGAGGGGGAGACCGACTGTCTCCCCTTTAGACACACAGCTCTGCTGCTGGAGACCGACTGTCTCCCCTTTAGATACACCGCTCTGCTGCTGGAGACCGACTGTCTCCCCTTTTGTTGCACAGCTCTGCTGCTGGAGGGGGAGACCGACTGTCTCCCCTTTGGATACTCTAAGCTGTCGCTGGGGAGAGGGGGTAACAGGCTCCTCTCCCGCTAGAACACTCTGCCGCTGGGGAAAGTAGACTGAGCTCTCTATTCCGTGCCCATTAATGATCCGCCGCTGGGGAGAGGTGGTAGCAAGCTCCTCTCCCATACATACTTTCGTCCTCTGTGGAGGGAGACCGACTGTCTCCGCTCCCAATACAGTGTCCTGCTGCTGGGGAAAGGAGACTGGGCTCTCTATTC